AAACTTTATGTCGTTACTTCTTCAGAACCATCCTTGATTTACTGTAAAAACATAAGTACCTTGTCAGAACCAAATTTTCTAAGTAAACTTTATGTCGGTACCTCTTCAGAACGAACCGTTATTTACAGTAAAAACAACCATACCAGGTCAGAACTAAAATTTCTAAGTAAAATTTATGTTGGTACCTCCTCAGAACCAATCTTTAACTATAGTAAAAACAACCATACCTTGTCAGAACCAAATTTCCTAAGTAAACGTTACGTCGGTACCTCCTCAGAACCAACCTTCATTTACAGTTAAAAATTAACAATACCTTGTCAGAATCAAATTTTCTAAGTAACTTAATGTCGGTACCTCCTCAGAACCAACCTTAATTTACAGTAAAAACATAAGTACCCAGTCAGAACCAAATTTTATAAGTAAACTTTATGTTGGTACTTCCTCAGAACCAACCTTTATTTACAGTAAAAAAAAAACAGTACCTGGTCAGAACTAATTTTTATGAGTAAACTTTATGTCGGTACCTCCTCATAACCAACCTTAATTTACAGTAAAAACATAAGTACCTTGTCAGAACCAAATTTTATAAGTAAACTTTATGTTGGCAAATCCTCAGAACCAACCGTTATTTGCAGTAAAACAACAAAACCTTGTCAGAACAAAATTTTATAACGAAGCTTTATGTCGTTACCTCCTCAGAACCAACCTTTATTTACAGTAAAAACAACAATACCTGGTCAGAACTAAATTTTCTCAATAAACTTTATGTCGGTACTTCCACAGAACCAACCTTTATTTACAGTAAAAACAACAATACCTGGTCAGAACTAATTTTCATATGTAAACTTTACGTCGGTACCTCTTCAGAACCAACATTAATTTACAGTAAAAACATAAGTACCTTGTCAGAACCAAATGTTCTAAGTAAACTTTATGTCGGTACCTCCTCAGAACGAACCGTTATTTACAGTAAAAACAACCATACCAGGTCAGAACTAAAATTTCTAAGTAAAATTTATGTTGGTACCTCCTCAGAACCAATTTTTAACTATAGTAAAAACAACCATACCTCCTCAGAACCAACCTTCATTTACAGCTAAAAAAAACAATACCTTGTCAGAACTAAATTTCTAAGTAACTTAATGTCGGTACCTCCTCAGAACCAACCTTAATTTACAGTAAAAACATAAGTACCCTGTCAGAACCAAATTTTATAAGTAAACTTTATGTTGGTACTTCCTCAGAACCAACCTTTATTTACCATGTTTACAGTAAAAAAAAACAATACCTGGTCAGAACTAATTTTTATGAGTAAACTTTATGTCGGTACCTCCTCATAACCAACCTTAATTTACAGTAAAAACATAAGTACCTTGTCAGAACCAAATTTTATAAGTAAACTTTATGTTGGTACCTCCTCAGAACCAATCTTTATTTACAGTAAAAACAACAATACCTGGTCAGAACTAAATTTTCTCAATAAACTTTATGTCGGTACCTTCTCAGAACCAACCTTTATTTACAGTAAAAAAAACAATACCTGGTCAGAACTAAATTTTTTAAAGTAGATTTTATGTCGGTACCTCCTCAGAACCAACCGTTATTTTCAGTAAAAACAACCAAACCTGGTCAGAACTAAATTTTCTCAATAAACTTTATGTCGGTTCCTCCTCAGAACCAATCTTTATTTATATAGTAAAATCAACCATAATACCTTGTCAGAACTAAATTTCCTAAGTAAACTTTATGTCGGTACCTCCTTAGAACCAACCTTCATTTACAGTTAAAAAAAACCAATACCTTGTCAGAATCAAATTTTCTAAGTAAAATTAATGGCGGTACCTCCTCAGAACCAACCTTTATTTACAGTAAAAACAATAATAACTTGTCAGAAACAAATTTTGTAAGTAAATTTTATGTCGAAACCTTCTCAGAACAAACCGCTATTTACAGTAAAACAACAATACCAGGTCAGAACTTAATTGTATAAGTAAACTTTATGTTGGTACCTCCTCAGAACCAATCTTTATTTACAGTAAAAACAACCATACCTTGTCAGAACTGAATTTTTTAAAGTAGATTTTATGTCGGTACCTCCTCAGAACCAACTGTTATTTTCAGTAAAAACAACCAAATCTGGTCAGAACTAAATTTTCTAAGTAAACTTTATGTCGGTACGTCCTCAGAACCAACCTTCATTTACAGTTAAAAAAAATCCAATACCTTGTCAGAATCAAATTTTCTAAGTAAAATTTATGGCGGTTCCTCCTCAGAACCATCCTTTATTTACAGTTCAAAAAACAAAACCTTGTCAGAAACAAATTTCTTATTAAGTAGACTTTATGTCGGTACCTCCTCAGAACCAACCTTAATTTACAGTAAAAACAACAATACCTTGTCAGAACTAAATTTTCTAAGTAAATTTTATGTTGGTACCTCCTCATAACCACTCCTTTATTTACAGTAAAAATATTAAAATCATGTCAGAACCAAATTTTATAAGTAAACTTTATGTCGGTACTTCCTCAGAACCAACCGTTATTTACAGTGAAACAACAATACCTTGTCAGAACCAAATTTTATAACTAAGCTTTATGTCGGTACCTCCTCAAAACCAACCTTTATTTACAGTAAAAACAACCAGACCTGGTCAGAACTAAATTTTCTCAATAAACTTTATGTCGGTACCTCCTCAGAACCAACCTTTATTTAAAGTAAAAAAAACAATACCTGGTCAGAACTAATTTTCATAAGTAAACTTAATGTCGGTACCTCCTCAGAACCAACCTTAATTTACAGTTAAAACATAAGTACCATGTCAGATCCAAATTTTATAAGTAAACTTTATGTTGGTACTTCCTCAGAACCAACCTTTATTTACAGTAAATACAACAGTACCTGGTCAGAACTAATTTTTATAAGTAAACTTTATGTCGGTACCTCCTCAGAACCAACCTTAATTTACAGTAAAAACATAAGTACCTTGTGAGAACCAAATTTTCTAAGTAAACTTTATGTCGGTGCCTCCTCAGAAACAACCGTTATTTACAGTAAAAACCAAAATTTCTATGTCGACTTAATATCGTTACCTCCTCAGTACCTTGTCAGAACCAAATGTTATTAACTAATGTTTAAAGTGTAAGCTTCTCAAAACCAACTGCTATTTAAACTAAAAACAATACCTTATCAAAACCATTTTTTTTTATTTATACTTAAGATCGTTACCTTCTCGGAACAGACCGTTTGTTCCAGTAAATATAACAATACCTTTTCGGAATAATTTTCTTTCTATGCAGACTCTCTCATATACCTTTTCAGAATAACATTGAAAATCAAGAATACCTTGTCAGAACCAAAATTTCTATGTAGACTTTTGGTCGTTTCCTCCTCGGGAACAAACCGTTATTTTAAGTAAATATTTCAATACTTTTTTTGAATAGTTGTCTTTTTATGCAGAATTTAGGTAGTGACCTGCTACAACTTTTCGTTATATACAGTATAAAACAAGTATGCCTTGTCAGAACCAACATTTTTTCTCACAAATAGATAAAAGTATTCTAATCCAAGCAACTGTTTTACACATATGATCAGTATAACTAAAATTATATTTATACGTTATATCAAGGATTTGTATATACAAATCCTTGGTTATATATATATATATCGCTTCTTTTATTACCGTTTGATATATTAATGAATTATATGTTAGCTCGGCTACACAAAATGTTGTTTGAATAATTTTCATTGATTGAATAATGCACACTTTTATTGTGATTGGGGTAAAACTCAATGTCACCTATAGCTGTGGTATCCATTGACATTAAAATTTAAAAAAAATATTTTCTACTGTTAGTTCAGGGGACAACACAGAAAAGCCCCTGAAAGGAATCGGAAGAGAAGGTGAGAAGATACTGAAAGAAATTCAAAAGAAACATATTCATGAAATGAATATTTGGAAGTGACCCAATGGCAATTTGAAAAAAAATGAAATAAAAATCACTACTTTCATTTCCGGGGGCATCGCTCGCAAATTCGCAAACTGTTGAAGAATACTCGAAATCTTGTACTGAGTAAATTACAAACTATACACTACACAATACATTATACAATACAAAACAATGTGTTTGTTCCAATTAAGGTTCCCTAGGGGGCAGTGACAAAGATACAGACACTGATAGGACAAAAGGATTGTTTATATTAGTAAAATCTTAACATCAAAACTTATCTTCGTACACATTATCAAATGTGTAACGTCTCTAAAGAACTGACTTATAAATCTTTCTTTTGGTGGAGTTGGGTCACTGAGGGGATTCCTCGGGACTTTAAATATTGTTGTTGCAACTTGAAAAAAATAAATATTTGTTTTAACACGATATTGAACGGGTGTTTCATGTATCATCCGTGTCAGCTAGTGTGGGGTATAAATACATATTATGTATTTTGATAAAAATAAGAGAGCTATATCATATTGAAATTGACCTATTTAATGTTGGGGTTATCTATCTCTGATGTTTTTACATGTCTCCTGTTTTTCTAATTAACTTAAATCTATATTTGTAAAATTACAATAGTTTGTCGGCTGCTTATTTCACTTAAATACTAATTTGTAATTCATATAAAATTTTAATATATAGCTTATATAACCTCACATGGTAAAGTAATCACCACGTAAACATTTTTATTACGCCGGCTCTGTTAATACAAACAACTTTAATGTTTTCTTTCAGGGTCGTTGTTATCTGTCTTAATTTTACGGGAGTGAGATGTCAATCAAAGACATATCTGCGCAAGACTTATATTGGTTCTGAGAACGTACGCCGGTTCTGCACAAGTAATGGTTCTGGGGGAGTGCACCGCTGCCGTACCCTGATCATTTTATGAGAGGACACAACAATAAAATGGCAATTTATTACTTGCATGTAAGATTAATACATTCGGTTTCTCATCTATTATCGGCAACTAACGAGACCTGGAAAACATAAGACACGAATCTACTGTACCTGCATTTAGCCAGTAAAAAGGCCACTTTTCATTATAGAGCAAATCATTTGAAAGCTCGTCTATTGATTCTCCACGAATAGATTGAACAGATAAAAAGGCCTGAAAAAAGAAAAACAATACAGTAGAGTTTCAGACACTTTACAAGTTATATGCATTCTAATAAAGTTTGCATATCACCTTTTAATAATTCATTTCTTTTTTATGAATTCATCTTAGACAAAATAGAATATCTCTCATTTTTATTTGAATTGACGATTAAGAATATACATACCTACTGCGAGTTTTATTTACGCCATTGGTTGAATTTAAACTGACTAAAAAGTTAGTTGTTAATAAAGGCGACAATAGTTAACCGACGTTCAATTCTCGTAAATCAAAAAGAAAGAGACAAATCAATATAACAAACCGACAATGAGGGAATCGCATGAACTCCAAAAGGATCGAGACTGAATGCGTCGTAAGCAGTTCTAAACTTTTTCGTGTTCACTTATTAAAAAAAAAAACATTACACAAAATGCTCTTGATTCCGAAACGCTGGATTCATGATGACCACTATAAGAATTTTAAAAATTCGTTAAACTAATGTAACTTTTGAAAGTAACAGAACTATCTAATAATAAAATTAATGGGATTTGAAAGTTAATTTTAATTCTTACTTAACACATTCTATAGCGTAGTTGCAAATTCAACCAAAACTCAGTATGACTGAATAACATAAGTAAAAGGAAAACGTTTGGAAATGGTTACTTCGGTCATTTGCATGAACCTAATCCAAAGACAATTTTTGGCTTATCCATTGAGTGTTCTCTAAAACAGGTAAAATTCTACATTTAATGAAGATGTTATTTCAATCCTAAAACCAAGACCTCACGCAAAACAGACTCTTAAGCTCATTATAGTGCTAATTTCATATTCCATGTTTGTAAAATAATCGTTTGAAGTGACAATTTTTCTTCAATTTTAATCAATTAAACTTAACTGACTTACTAACTAAGCCTTATTCGTCGCTTCCGTAGCATATTTTTGAGGGGTATTTTTTTTCTTTTATATATGGATGCTAATCTGACATCAAACAGTCAGTGCTTTACCAATACACTTGAATTACTCAATCAACAAACCTTGATCATGCAAAAATACCGCAGTGTGAAAGATGAGAAATACAGTGTTAATAATGATACGTCCATTAAGTTGTACCAAGACTTTGCGTAACGACGTATTCCTTCTGTGAATAACTGGCTACATTCCTGGCATGCCATACCTTGTATGAGAGAGAAATATAAATATATATGTTGGATCGATATTCCAATAGCATGAGTTCGAATCCCGGCGAGGGAAGAACAAAAATTTGCTTCCGCAAATTTGCAGATTTAACATTGTTGTGCTGATATTTAGAGTAGTTATGTATATATATATATATATATATATATATATATAAAAGTCTAAATTAAAAACAACGTTCAAGCCTATGATTGCGTAGGATAAAAACCGCAATTTCTTGTTAGAGGGGTCTAAATACAGCACTAACAACATTTTTCCAAAAGACCAAAAAAGTGAAAAAGTATATTTTAACAAAACGCATTTGACTATATATATAATGATAAAACAATGCACTTCTTCACAACGATCGTGTTGATTAATAGAAATATACTGTTGTCTGCTCTATGGTCGGGTTGTTGTCTCTTTGACACATTCCCCATTTCCATTCTCAATTTCATTATAATATTTTTTTGATATAAAGTTACATAAAAATCAGAAAATGAACTTCACACTGGATAAATGTATTTTAGGTTTGCAAAAAATAATATCCGGCCTGACAGTTTTTTTTCGTGATTTTTCATACCGCAATTTTCATAGCTTGAAAAAAAATCTTTGTTAGGTAAAATATAATAAAATTCGTTAAAGTGCTTTGCTGTAAGAGGGATAAAGTATATCAGATGGGTAGTATAAAGCTCGAGAGAGAGCCTTGTTTATGTGCATACCTATGTTAAACTGCATAGTTTATTTAAATACTTGCCTATAACCCATGTTGAAATCATAAGCTGTGTAATAGTCGGAATGAGTGGTCGCATAGGAAAATCAATTCCATATAGTGTTTGGTTAGTTGAATCAAATAGCTGAATGTACTTGTCATAAATGTCCGGATACTTAGAATTAAGAGTTGTGTATTTAGAAACGGTCTTTGATGTTTCAGCTGTTGACACAATAATAAGTACAAGGAAAGCCAAAAATGACATCATATGGCAAATAAACTTAACACATGGGTATCTCAAAATACGTATACACTGAAAAATATAATAAGATATTTTCTTTATATTCATTTATGAATATTATCCGTGAATATCCACGAAAAATGAATGTATTACAATTTTATAATACACAATGCATTGAGGCTAAAGCAGATATATTGACGATTTTTAGTTATTAGGGCATTGATTCGGTCAGTATCAAAATTGTGATCTAGTCATTAGATATATCTGTCAATACTTATATAAGTCAAACAGGCATAATTGCAGGTTAAACCAACAATTGAAATAAGGAGAAAAAAGCAAGTAAAAAAATGAAACCGAAGCATGGAATTTAGCGTTCACTGTAAGAACATATGTATGCCATGCGTGTTCTATCTAAAAGTCATACTATTTTCGAAAGTAAATATTTCGAAATCCTATTTATTTACTTAATATTTTTAATAATTCTGTTTGGAAAATGGAACTTAAATCGTCACAACTCATTTCATGGAACACATCAGTAGTTTAGTAATGATTTTCAAGCGATACTGTACATGTGCAAGATTTTTTTGTATTTGAAATAATTATAAAATGTGGTGTATACTTCACCAAGACAGTAACCAAAAAACACAAGATAAAAAATTAAGGCAACAGTAGTTTATCGATGTCCAAAGCTTTTAAATCGATTAAGAAAACAAATCAGGGTTACAAACCAAAAGGGAGGGAATCGCGTGAACTCTGAAAGGAGCGAGACAGGAAGCGTCGACAATATGAGCGTCTCCTGCTATGCATGCAACATAGATTCATTTGTTGCCCTACATTCAAAAACTAAAAGAGGTGACTTAATTCTTACTCTCTTAAAGATACACCGTTACCAGTGATTCGTTATGCTTCTGGTTGCACACTTACCACTGGTTATAATTTCAGAATCGGAACATTTAAGCATACGAAGAGATACTACCGTACTGACTCACCAAATTTCTGTCCGTTTGGACTTGATGAGATCCCGATTGTTTTTATTACAATGTATGTCCGTTTTTATTTAGCTATAAGATGTTTAACAGACCTTTGAGTCCACGTGTTACCATAAATCGGCTATTATACATTTTCACAATAATTGTGCTTCTAAAATATCGACACATTGCGCTTTTTCATTCATTTTTTTTGTTTTTAGATGGTGTCAGATACACGTAACCTAAAATCGGCCAACAGGAACAATGACCATGTGACTCAATTGCAGACAAAAAAAAGAGATTTTTTTTTTCAATCACGTTTTAGTTTGAAATTGCATCTTTATTGTTGTTCATATAAAAATCTTAGATCATGTAAATATCTGTAAAAGAGGGACGAAAGATACCAGAGGGACAGTCAAACTCATAGATCGAAAACAAACTGACAACGCCATGGCCAAAAATAAAAAGACAAACAGACAAATAATAGTACAGATGACACAACATAGAAAACCAAAGACTAAGCACCAAAAACTGGGGGTGATCTCAGGTGCTCCGGAAGGGTAAGCAGATCCAGCTCCACATGTGGCACCCGTCGTGTTGCTTATGTTATAACAAATCCGGTAAATAGTCTAATTTGGTAAGTCACATTCGTGAAAAGGGAGGGTATTGTAGTTACAACATAAGGAACATATCCGATATCATCTGTGAAACGGTTATTCCATAACGGTCAACCAACTCGTGATAGCGTCCGTAAAATTTACGAAGGGATGATTTCAACTTCACCATTTGGAACTCTTGGTTTAATAGCTTCCTTGTGAGCAGCAATCCTCTATCAAGGAAATCATGATGGGAATCACAAGCCCGGGAATATCGTATCAATTGGGAGATACTCCGTATGCAGGCGCTGCTGGAATGTTGCTACATAGAAATGGAAAGTTCACAATTGGGAAGCTGAAATCATCTCTTTTGTCGTAAAGTTTTGTTTTCAACCGACCCTCATTGTCAATTTCTAGATGTAAGTCAAGATATGAGGCAGACTTAACTGTATCTGTAGTATCCTTTATCTCTAGTTCGATGGGATAGATTCGTTCAACAACATCTTCACCCAATACTATATATATACAGCCAAGATGCAAAAACAGGTTGACGAATTATGTTGTCTTGTGTCTTCCTTTTTTAAATTAATTTTTACTCAAATTAGCATGTTTAATTTGGTAAAGCGTTTTAAAAGTCAGTCTAAATAGCCCTGTTGTCAATCATGCGTAGCTAGACACATTTGCTTGTATTTGATTAAGAAGCAATCTCATTTCGTTTCTTTTCCAGCCAAAAATTCACGTAAGGTATGTAGCACTTTCAAAGTGTAAAAAATCATGACATTTTCCTGGACTACCATATTGCGAAAACCCCATGATAATGTGCAAAGGAATGTAAAATAAGCGTGCTATAAAAACATATCCCATAAAGGGTTGTAACAAATATTTTATATACAAAATTACAAGTATTTATACTTGTCTGCTAAATATCATTTATAGCTATCATCAAGCAAATTGAATGGTTGGCGTTCTGTTTCTGTGTTCGGAAATAAAAAGATACATCGACAACAAATATCCAATAAAAGCGTATTTCTAAAAGAATTAAGACAGATTTTGAGTAATGACCTATTTTATGAAATGGAAGGATACTTCGTTGTAAGTAACAGTTTTATACTTTTATTGCGTAGCCATTTAGGTATAAAAACTTTTTTGTACCAGTTTACTACTTTTAATTATTGCACTTTCAGTAAAGTTTTATCAAATTATAGTAATAAACAAGTACTATATATTAATATAATACCTTCATTATACTACACAACAGATAAACAAAACTTGTAGCACAAATCTAGTACTGTCAAATTATGGAACTAAAATAGTATTGGTGCAAAAGTACCTGTGTAATACCTACATATTTCTGAATGATCTTAAATGATAGATTACGAAACTGATAATGAAAATGTTTAATACGCTTACCTTTGCACGTGGTGCAAACAGATAAATAAGCACTAGGAACGGATATGAGATGAAAAACAACATAAACAGCAAGATACGCTTAGGCCAACCTGCACGTTCTAACACCCCAATGCCTTCATACCATGTACTGACCATTCTTTGCTGACAACTAGAATGAGCAACAAACTGAAATAGACAAGACACATATTATCGATATATAAAAAGGAAAATGGTCATAATTATAAATTAACTCTTAACAAGACTTTGAATATTCGAAATACTTAGGATTTTCTCCAAGGAAGATTACCTTAGCTGTTTTGGGGAAAAACCTATCGGACTTTTGGGTCTTCAATGTTCTACTACTTCGTACTTTATATGGCCTTTTTAACATTTTATTTCGAGCGTCACTGATTAGCCTTATGTAGACGAAACGCGCGTTTTTCTTTACCTGTGGATTCCTCAAAACTGTTTTGTTTTTAAAATTTTTAGGAAACTGTTGCAGTTAACAGGATTTTCTTCTCACAAAGTAGTTTTTGATATATGTACAGCCAAAAACTAAAGCAATGTCGCGTCCTACATAGAAAATAACAAATATCACCTGTACATCTAGATAACATAAAATGTTAACAGATATACAGAAATCGCACAAATCAAAAAAGAGATCGTTCATACGAAGGCGTTGAACAGTTTAAAAAAAGATACAGTGCACAAAAAAAAGTACGCCAAAAATTGAAGTTAAAAGATTAATGAATAGTAAATACAATATTTCAGATACCAGATATCCTTTATCAGTATCAGTTGCTCCATGTAACAAGGCTTGTAGAGAGTCCATATTTTATTCATGCACGTCATAATAACTGAATATTGCCTGAGAAGTAACATACTTCCTTTAGTTTTATAAATTTATAATCAATAATAAGTGGAGGAAAGTGTTAACCGATAAGAGGAAAAATCAGTAGAATATTAAATGTGCAAGACAACAAGAAATAAAATCTTCAAAACCCGCGAAAACATCCCAAAAAAAAAAGGTCAGAGTATATATATTACGTTTGAAAATCATTCCAAATAACCCTTTAAGAAGTAATAGTCATAGACCTGACATGCACTCCAAAAACTTTAAACGACAGTTGTTCTTTATCGGAAAAACTGTGAAGTCTTTGTTAGAAGGTCCGTTTTAGCTGAGCAAAAGATTAAGCGTTCCAGTTGAGCAAAAATTTATGAATATGCGATGAAGGTAAAAAAAATCAAAATCACCATTTTGTGAATGCCAAGTTTCAAATGAAGAATGCAGAGGCGATAGTAGTATTCTGATGTTCGAAACACGTAAATCCATTTATAATTTACAAATAAAGATAAATAAAACTGATGAAATCGCAAGAGCCAAACGGAGCGAGACCGGGTTCGTCGACAGGGAAATCTTCTACTAATATACGCATAACCCATTAATAGAATGACATATAACTAAAATCAATCGTACAATAGCAGAGAAGATCCGTTTTACCTAGATTTTTCCTCACTTCTACGGCAGCATCGCTAGCATATGCAGCCATCGTGAAATCATGTTCTTATATTCAAGCAAATAAATCTATGTCCCTCGGTCTGGAGTAAGATAAATATGTTCAGATTATCGGTCTAAAATGTTGGAGTACATTTCATTTAGTACTTGCTCATCAAACGGAACTGCAATTCATAGAAAATAAATTAGTGTGGGTTCCAATCCGAACAGTGGGTTCTTGTATTTCGCTTATCTCATTTCATTCAAATCTTCGGAAGGACGCAGAAAATGATAACAATGTGACAATATTTCAATCTATCATTGCACTGCTTTCACTGACCTTCGGATTTCTCTTTGGCTATCAATTTTATCATTTCAAAATAGTTAAATCAATAGAATCCGCACGTTTCTTACTGATGTTTATAGATAAGACAATTATTTATTACGTTACAAAAATTTTTATCGAAAAAGAGAATGTTAAAAGTACAAAAAAAAGCATGCGATTTGAAATTAGAATCATCCGACTTTACTAAACACCATCTCTAACACAGCTATCATCAGTTTGATTCTCTTAGATCTGGAGTATCTGATTATTGGATAATAATGGTCATACATTTCATTAAACTCCTTTCTTGGCATATGGCCCGAGAACACAGTTATTTCATAGTTCATTTCTTTTAGAGAATAAATGAAATGCAAACTAAAAATAATCGCAGCTGCGCTTTCTCAATAATATTTTCACGGTGTGGTGTACTACTTTGGGACAAAGAATATAAGAATTATAGAAAACTTCATCAGTTCTAACTCAAAATGGGGGCAATTCTATGTTAAGGGGGTCATGAATTTAGTTTGACAGCTTCAGACATACTAATTTTTTTTTACCTTTTTCAACTAGACCAAATCACTACTCTAATTCAAAGTTCGTGACGCAAATTATTTTACAGTTTATAATTTCATCTCCTACTTGCTAGTTGAGACATAAAACATGAGCAAATAAATTGGGAAGGCGTATGAAACAAATTTCCAAGTAATACACTAGGGACCATATTTTGACAACGAAAATCAAAGGACAATAATTGTATACCCGGGCTTTATGAGCTATTTTGTCAATATTTAAAAAAAATAATAATAATATTTACAGGTGTACTTCACTGGTGTATATTAAATATATGCTTTACTCCACTTAATCTTTCTAATGAGAACCGCTTTAGACTAAAGAAATTGATTTTTTCCATTCCCTATCATTACATTTTGACTGCGTGTGAATCAGAATAGCTGGTGGTGCTTGCATAACAGGAAACGCTTGTCGTATCGAGGCACACAGTCTCGCTCCTTTTGAATTTCATGCTATTCCCTTGGTGTTTCTTTTAATCTTCATTTAATATTCTAAATAGATTGCCGAGATTTGAACATTTATAAACTACTGTTTCCTCTAATTTGTCATCAATTAACAAGATGATCACAACGAGAAATTCATACAGCTACGGATCAAAAGGCCAAACATCGTTAGTTACAGATCTGTAGGTATTGATGAAAACATGTGTCATGTGATATATCTTTCTACCATGTGTTCCTCAATGCACAGATGTGACATTATCAACAATCTAGAAAAAAATCCGTTTAAAACCTATAGTGGTCAATATTAACTTGCAATGAGTGAGCTGTAAGCTATTGCTCCATGCTGAAGGCCTCGTTTTGATTTTGAATAGAAGAACAGCAAGGAAAGCGCGATTCCCTTGCTTAAGGTTATTCAAGTGTGTGAACATAATTTTGTGTAAAGCATTTATAAACCTTAAATCTTTTTTTCATTAACTGGTATGTCGATAGGTCTTTATCATAGTAAAAAAAAATCTTTTCATAATAGTAAAGTACAAAATTTTGTAAAGAGGGCACATGTAGTGCCGATCAGAATACTAGTAAGGATATAATGTATCTCCATACTCTATACTTACATCTAAGAAATTTATAAGATAACATGATTGGCGTTTGTATTGTTCAGAGGCAGTTTTAACTGTTCGCTGTTTTGTAAGCCCCCCTCTCTCTTCCCCCCATTTGTTTGTACAGACGTCTCCCTATTTTCAATTTTCTCATTTTTTTACTGTTTTTGTAAGTTTCCTCCTTTCTAAAACAGTCGGTTTGATTCAGTCTACTAATTGTTTTATTAATTATAACCTCAATTATAAGTGTTTGCAAAAGAGAGGCAAAAGATACCAAAGGGACATTAAAACTCATAAGTCGAAAATAAACTGACAACGCCATGGCAAAAAAGAAATGACCACCAGACAAACAACAGTACACAAAACACAACATATAGAAAACTAAAGACTGAGCAACATGAACCCCACCAAAAACTGGGGGTGATCTCAGGTGCTCCAGAAGGGTAATCAGATACTGCTCCACATGTGGCACCCGTCGTGTTGCTCATGTTTGTACAAACCCGGTGATAAGTCTAATTCGGTAGGTCACAATCGGGGGAAAGGGGACGGGGTTGCAACTTTCGGTTATTTATGACAATTTTTCACAAAACATAAATAAAACTAGAAACTGAATTCATGCTAATCAATCTTTACTTTTCCACATATGATGTTTTTGCTCGGCTCATTGTATTAACTATATACACTTAAATAATTAAAAGTTTTGGTTTCCTGGAATTACCCAAATTTTCCGCCCAAACATATGTACTTAAATTTTAATTTAAATTGTCAAATGAAAATGCCAGTGAACTTGATGACGTGTGCTATCATACAGTCAACAGTGTTTGCATTTTCGATGAGATCAGCAGAGACTGCTATAATGAAATATAATCCCAAAACGCGCACAAAGTCTCAGTTTAATTAGTGCATATAAACTATAGGATCAATCCTACAATATGTCGTAGTTTTTTTTATGTAGCAATCAATATAAATGATTACAAATATCTTGTCTGCATTTCAATTTTGGCTGAAGGACTTTTTACATTAATTTCAATTTAAAAAAAAACGAAATTATTCGTCTGATATTTATATGTTTAGTTTGAAATCAAAACGTAGGTTTATATTGAATTGGATTAAATATCTAAATATAAAATACTAGTAGTCTATTTGTTATTTGCTTTTTGTGCTTTGTGTCGGTTGGATGCGCCAAGTTTTCACAACTGATTTTTACAGTTTCTTCTTATACTGTGCTGTTGAACCACTGCTATATGTTAGGGGAGGGTTTAGCGCTACCACACATGTTTAAACCCGCCACATTCTGTATCTTGACTGTTTCAAGTCAGGAGTCTGTAGTTAAGAAGTTGTCTTGGTTGCTGTCTATCATATTCAATTTAAGTATATGGCTTGATTGGTTTTCTCTTTTGAATTCTTTTTACATTTTGTCATGTCGGTACCTTTTATAGCTTAATATAAAAGTGTGGGCTTTTTCAATGTTGAAAACTACGGCGATCTATAGATGCCCACATCTACGTCGTTTGGTGTCTGGTTGATATTTATCTGCAATCATACCACATCTTCTTATTTTTAATATTCCCTAGTGGTAAGTTCCTATGGAAATGGGACAGTTAATTATTTCCCCGGTTATGAATGATAATTTAACAATTTTGTTTTTATTTCGACATGTAATAAATTAAATCAAAGTCGATGTAACATAATTTTGCAACGCTCAATGACAATTTCTCTGAGTATTCCTTCACCAGTAACGCTTAGATCCAATG